AACCTATGCAATCAAAGTGCACAGACGTGGTTCAGCATATTCATGAATACCATGCATACATACACCTTTATTCATCTGCTTTCATTTCACATTCAAGTGGTGCCTGGCATGAGGCTAATTAGCATTTCTGTCATAGAGGAAGCAGAGAGGGACCAGGGCAAGTTATTTGTTTCTCAACACTGTTGCTAAGAAACCTGTTTAAAAACATGTATTGAAAAGGTGACAAGGTATTGCTCACAATTCCAGACAGGGTCTTTGTAGCCTAAAATTGTTCTCTCCGGGTTGCCATAGGTTAATGGGGACTTGGTCCCACATTAGTGGTCATTGCTAGAAGGGATACAGCTTTTGTCAAATTAACATAAAAAGTTAAATTTATTTTGCATTTTAGCTAACCCTAATCCTTTTCCTAACATTAACCTAATTATCCTAACATGCTACGTTAATTCTCCTAACCTGCTGCGTAAATTCCAACTGCTACAAAAAGTCAAATCTGACAAAAGCTGTATGCCATCCAGTAAAAACCCACATAAATGGTATTATGTAATGGGGTGGAGGGGGGTTTGGATCTGAGGGAAATTAATCTGATTATTATTATATTTATGTGCTTGCCCTCCACTGCCATATGTATTATCACTGATCATGGGCCTTTTCTTTTCCTAATCGGGTTTTACAGTAATAGATTATTAAAATATGCTCCAAAAGGACACGTCTTGGTTTACAGAGAGTCATTGGACCATGAGATGCATACAGTACCTCATTCAACTTTTTGTGAGCATAAATACATAAATAAGATCTATTTTTAGGGTATATTTGGTGCTTAAATGTTGTATTATCCTGAGAAATCTGGTTATTGTCCTGTAATCCTGTTTGTTTTTGCATTATCCTTATGAACAAATATAGTCATTAAATGTAAAGAGTCCCTTTAATCAGAGGTATTATCAGATCAGATAAGCCCATATCGGCCTCCACAGAGAAAGACAGGAGTTTATTGAACACTTGGACGGGGATGCGCATGCAATAACGCTCTGCAGTTTAAAGTGATGAAATTAAAATTATGAATCAGCCATTGATTAATCATTTTGACACATTGCCTAATTTCCCGGCAGAACAGGAGACTCCAGACGGTATTTGTGAGGGATGCATGCACTTAAATCAAAACAGGATGTAATACGTTTTATAAGGCTGTTCCGCTGGGATTTAATACTCCATTAACACAGGGGCATGTCATTGTTAAAACACACATACACTCAAAGATATACACAAACCAATAGTTATCCCACTGTGATGAAGGAGTCAGGTGCAGGAGGGTAAATCACAGAATAACAGGCTTTAATCCGCAAAATACAGGTTTACGCAGAAATGCTTCAAACACACTCCGGGGCACAAAACAGGCGCACTGGAAAATACAAGGCATATGGGAAAAATACTCCCGTCGATACACGATACACGATACACGATACACGATACACGATACACGATACACGATACACGATACACGATACACGATACACGATACACGATACACGAGCTCCACGGAGCTTCACTAACCTCCACAAATAAACAATCACCCACAAGGACAAGGGGGCAGAGGGAACACTTATACACAGACTAATTAGGGGAATAGAACCAGGTGTGTGTGATTGACAAGACAATTGTGATGATGATTGGGGCGGCAGTGGTTAGTACTCCGGTGACGACGAACGCCGAAGCCTGCCCGAACAAGGAGGGGAGGCAGCCTCGGCGGAAGTCGTGACATCCACATACTAGGCTACACTAAGCACACAACTTTGCACTTGCAAAAAGCATACTTTGCACCTATCTTGATTTAAATTAGTTTATTTCCGTCAAGGGGTTTGAAAGCATCATGATAATTGATTCACCTGATAAATAAATAAAATAATTGGTCATTTAGCAGACGCTCTTATCCAGAGCGACTTACAGGAGCAATTAAGGTTAAGTGCCTTGCTCAAGGGCACAGACAGATTTTTCACCTAGTCGGCTCGGGGATTAGAACCAGCGACCTTTCGGTTACTGGCACAACGCTCTTAACCACTAAGATACCTGCCGCCCATAGATAGATTGATTGAATGTTGATATACTTAGAAAGTTTATGTAAATGTAACAATATTTAACAGTAAGTCAGGGCTGGACTACAGCATTTGGGGCCCAGGGGCATCAACCTTTTTTAGCTAACTTCCTGCATTTCAACACATTTTGTGTAGAAAAAATGTGCCGTTTTATAAGGCTATTCTACACATTTTGTCATGAGGGTATGAGATAATGTTGCAATTTTAAAGCTAATTTCCTGCCATTCTACACTTTTTGCCATGGGTCATAGAGAAAATGTTGCTGTTTTATAGCTCATCTCATGCTACTGTTCACATTTTGCCATGAGGCTGAGAGAATTTGTTTTAGTTTTAAAGCAAATTTCCTGCCATTCTACACATTTTGCCATGAGGCTGAGATAGAATTTTGCAGTTTTAAAGCTCATTTCCTGCAATTCTACACATTTTGCTATCATATGCTATCTGGGGGGCCCCCAACCTCCAAGGGGCTCACAACCATTCGGTAAACCCACCCTGCATTAAGTAATATTGCTTTATCACAATTCCATGTAGCCTATGAGCCAGCTATCATCCTAGACCTAGGCCATAGTGCAGGGGTAGGCAACCCTGTTCCTGGAGTGCCGCAGGTACTGCAGGATTTTGTCCCAACTAGACACCACACCAGACCAACTGAGCTAATTGATCAGTTCAGTGATTGCATAAATTCAACACACCTGGTCTTCCAGGTTGGTTAAATCCAAAACATGAAGTGACTGCAGCACTCCAGGACCAGGGTTGCCTACCCCTGACATAGAGAAGGATAGAGGCCTCCAGTGGCCAAAAGGCTGTATTAGCATGGGCCGCACCATTGAGGGCTTCTAATGTAGTCAACTGGGTGGGACTTCCAACTTCATTGGCTGATCCCTCTGGATCAGCCTATTGTGAAGAAGAAAATGTACTACTTTAAAATGGAGATAGCCTCAATGGCACTGCCCTATGTTGTCACAGACGCTATAATGCCACAGATACAAAGATGAGTCCTCTCTCTATCTCTATGGCCTAGCTCTACAAAAACTTTTTTGGGGTGGCACACTGCCATCCACCTACAAAATTGTACCTGGATCTTCCTTCATCTACGATCCACACGGGAGCGCTGTGTTCACAAGAAGTGTGGCGTTTGCCTGCCACATCATTTTCGCTTCACGTTGCTGTTTCTGATGGAAACGCGGTAGATTGGAAGTGGAACTCACAGATAGAACAAGGAAGGAGCTATAACTATATTTGATGACCTGGCAAGTCTGACCATTTTTAGTCGAGGGAGGTAAGGCACATTTTAAATTATCCCAGTGCATGTTGCAGTTGAGATTAGGCTATTTTGAAAACAAATTGCTTTGTCAGCCCGTAGCATTGTTAGTTGCTGCCTGCCACACTGTCAACTGGGAGGCATGGTGGTCCGGACTTAAATTGAGGGTCGAAATATGGCGGAAGCGGACGAGAAAGTGTATTCTGAATGTAATGGTGGTAGAATAAAGGAGAATTTGAGGTAAAGTTCAAGAAGGGAAAACAGAGTTAAGTAGAATGAGCTCCCGAGTGGCGCAGCGGTCTAAGGTGCTTGAGGCGTGATTGGGAGTCCCATAGGGCGGCGCACAATTGGCCCAGCGTCGTGCGGGTTTGGCCGGTGTAGGCCTTCATTGTAAATAAGAATTTGTTCTTAACTGACTTGCCTAGTTAAATAAATAAAAAAATAGAATGTATCTTGTAGGAGTATCGTTTGTTAATGAGGAGCAGCTGATCGATGTACCAATCTGGAGGAATCCATTTGAGATATCAACTGGTGAAGAGAGTGCTTGGTAGAGTGAAGGCTGTGAGGGTCACGAGAGACGGGCTTGTTTAGATTTTTTTTTTTTTGTGCTTCTGCGGATCAGAAGGATCGTGTGTTGCGTATCACCCGATTTGATATGTTTGAAATGTTGTGTGTCTCTTCGCAACAGTGCACCCCTCAAGGGGGTAATATCTGGCGTCTCGTGGGAAGTCTGTGTTGAAGAGATTAAAAATATTCCTGTTGTGATTAATGCACGTAGGATGAATCGTGTGGTGAATGAAGAGAAAGTGAGGAGTCTATCTGTTCTTTTGTTTTTTGATATGGAGTCTCTCCCTACTCAAGTGCAGTTTGGGTTATCAACTATAGAGTCAGAGCATTTATCCCAAGACCAATGATCATTGTAAAGTGTGATCATTGTAAAGCTTTTGGTCACGTTTCAAGAAGGGATAAGCCGAGATGTCCAAGTTGTGGAAAATATAATGTCATATGTTATAAGAGTGATCAAAATGTGTCATGTTGCAATTGTGATGGGAACCATGAAGCCAAGTCTTTTGAATGCCCCACGAGGGCGAAAGAGAATGAGGTGGCCAAAGTAAGAGCTGTCCAGAGCATTTAATATGTAGCAGCCGTTAAAAGGGTTGAGGGTTTCAGTGGTACACATGAAGAGTCCATGGTGGTGGATAGGCCTTCACTACAGGCTGCAGGGGTTGCCTTTCACCAAGAGGACCCTGATATTTTAAAGGTTAAAAGGGTGGCCTTTATTACGATTGTGATTAATTGCACTGCCAAGGTGGGGGAAAAAAAGATCTAGGAAGATATAAATGATTGTGGTTGCAGCAGAGCGGTTCCTGGGGCTGAACGATTTCTCGGCGAAAGAATGGAATATTGTCAAAAGCCGTTCCACCAACTCAGGCCCTAGTGCCTGAGACGGGAGATATGGAGACTTAAAAGAAGGAAGAAGTGGGAGTTGTGTTTTGTCAATGCACAATTTTATTTGGGTGGATAAAGTTAGTTTCCCTATTATGTATGGATTTTCTTTGTACCTGGTTTTGGTTTGAACCCGTCCAGTTGGTGGCGACAATACATATTTTTTTGGGTTGTAGTCCGCCATAAAACCCACAGAAGAAGAAGAACTGTCAACTGGGTTAGCCACTTAGCTAGCAAGCTGATGGCGGTACAGAAAGCTAGCTAGCAAACGTCTTAGGTAACGTTAGTTAGTTATCCAACGCCAAGCTATGTAATTACTGGTGGTTAAAGTTTCAGCCACGTTGAAATTTGATTGGATTATTGGCTATCTTGCTTCTGGTGTTTAAACGTTTTGTTGCCACATATGTACCCCTCGCTAACTAGGTAGCTAGCCAGCTAACTGTAATTAGTTATGCTTCTAATTTGTTTGGTAGAGATAATCACAATGTCAACAAAGCCCCTCTGAACCATTTCTGCTTTGTTGTCTATCCAGGTGTCAATTGGATTCTGAATCGTGACCTCGTCTAACTGGAATTTTCTATGGCTGCCCCTGTCTTGCAACAGCCCAGTTTCCTTCTGGTTAGTTGTAACTGCTATATTGTGTTGCTGTTCATCATGAGCAACGTGGGAACTTCTTGTTGCCTACTTGAACTTGTCATGAGCCAAGTCAATGTCACATAATAGCTAGCCTAGTACTTTGGCAGCATTAACTGTTGTCAGCAGTAATGATGTTGTCTGAGAAAGGCACTTAACCCTAATTGCTCCTGTAAGTCGCTCTGGAGAAGAGTCTGCTAAATGACAAAAAATGTAAAATGTCTTCTCTTTACAGGCCAACCTGAAAGTTGACTCGACCACCAAGCCTTTTCTCCAGCGTTGCCAGGAAATGGTCAAGGTCATTGATGACTACCCTGTGAAGGTACAATTTGTCTGTATAAACCAGTGTTGTCAGTGGTCTATCTAGCATGTGTTGGATTGTTGTGAGTTGTTAGATATACTGCACTGTTGGAGCTAGAAACACAAGCATTTTGCTTCACCTGCAATACCATCTGCTAAACATGTGTATGTGACAAATACAATTTGATTTGATTGAATTGTGCATGCTTAGGATCAAAACTATTTAGAATTTGAAGTATGTTGTCATGTGTGGATAAGACTGTCATTCTCAGTTGCTTGGAGGTGCATGATTTGCATAGAACACTTACTAGTGTTTATGTTATGTTTTGGAATGGTTGGGGCAGACTCATAAGTTTGATGCTTCATGTCTATGAGGGATGTGTTCAGGCAGCTGTTACTGTGGGGTATGGTGGGATCAGAGGGAATGTCAGGCCAGGGTGACACATCGTCTGGAAAACAGGGTCTCAGGAACAACTGCTACACTGCAGACCCCTCTCGCTGGGGTGCAGGCAGGCAGAGGAAGAGCACTTTTCTGTCAATAGGTCAGCTCATCAATATCCAACTATGTCAATGTTTAGTCAGTCAGCTTTGTGCCTGAACTCAGTTCAACTCAACCATGTTAACCAATCACATTAATCCTCTCAGTTAATATCTCTATCTGCAGGAGCTGCACCTGATCTTCCCATGGCTGGTAGAGAGTGTTTTTGGCAGTCTGGATGGTGTCATCGTGGGCTGGAACCTGCGATTTCTGCAGGCATGCAGCAATGAGTACAACATCGTCATGGACTTTCTCAATCCTAGGTAGTCTGTCATCCTATGTCTGTCTTTGTGTTCCTGTGTCTTTGTCTGTCCTTCACTGTCTGCCTTTATGATGCTGAATTTTAGAAAAGCAGTAATGTACTGACTTAATTATGATCTCATGTGATTTTCAGTGGTCCAATGATGAAGCTTGTGTACAAGCTTCAAGCAGAGGAGTACAAATATGAAATACCAGTCAGCTTTCTCCCTGTAAGTCGCATCTCTTTTTAAGCGTGACTTTTTCTCTCTCAATTTGACACACAGCAAGGACAGTGGTTGGTGTAAAGCTTGGTTGTTTTTCTCTTGCAGGGTCCTGTAAAGGTGTCCATACAGGAAGGCGTCCTCCCAGATTGCCCACTTTTTCACAACAAGCTGCATTTTCCTCTGCCTGGTCTGCAGACACTCAGCCTGGCGCTCAGTATCCTTGATGCTCAAACTCACACTCGGACCTCGCTTTCTCAAAAACATACACACAATGTTAACAATGACAATGTTTGCTTACATGATTTAGACTATTTTATAGTCTGGTGGTATGTCCTTAACCCTCTTCAGATCCCTTTGAATATTACATGTTCATGTTTGCCTCCAGTCTCATCACACCAAAGGTAACAATGCTCAACTGTCATTATAACAATATATTTTTTGATAGTTTGTGATAATTTAACCAGACTATATATTATTTGACATCACACGTGTTTTGATGCGTTCTTCTCAGAACTACCCTCTAGGCCAGCATGTGAGCAGCTTGGACAGTGCATACTTTGTGCTGGTGGACACCTACCTCAAGTATTTCCTCCCTACAGAGGGCAGTGTTCCCCCCTCTCCATTCACAGTTAACAGAGGCTCTGTGTCTCCACCTGCTCCCAGGTACTCTACAGTGGGGATAGAACTCCATAGTCCGGTGTGAATGTGAGAGCGCTAACAGGGTTGTGAGAACATTTGAAAGATGCTACCTGAACTTGTCCAATAAGAGCACATACTTTCTTATTTCTTTGCCTCCTTTTAGTTTCTCTTTCCTTCCTAATGCTAGGAAACTCAGTGCTCACTGTCATGTCTTTGGTGTCCAGGGCTCCCAGCGTGCCTTTTGCAGGTTATGGTATCCACAGCACCAGCCTCCTCAAGCGCCACATATCCCATCAGCCCTCAGTCACTGCTGACCCTGCAGCCCAGGAGATCTGGAGGTCAGAGGCATTACTACAGGTGAGTCTCCTTCATCCTTTGTCAGTCATGACTGGATTTGGTGTGACTGATGTCAGTCAGGTGTTTAGGGAATCTGGAATAAGACGTGTGTGTTACCTCCAGGTGTTTGTGGAGATGTGGCTGCATCACTACTCCCTGGAGATGTACCAGAAGCTGCAGTCCCCCCAGGTGAAGGTAAGAGCATGTCACACGTGGCCCCTTCCACCACCAGGCTCACCCCCTTCCACCACCAGGCTCACCCCCTTCCACCACCAGGCTCACCCCCTTCCCCTCACTCCTGCACTGCAGCACCGAACGGCTGACTGGCTGATCACTACCGCCCCTCGCCCACCCCTTAGGAGCTTTCACTTGAACCACAGCGGGGCTCACCCTACCGAGTACCATGATTAGCCTTACCCCCGCACACACACGCAGACATTGGCCCCACATGGTGATCTGCGTCAAATCAACCTGTCCCCAGGCTTTCACAACTGGGACACAAAACGTGTCACATTGTCCTCTTTTTAACTAGAGGGGAATATTTATATCTGAATAAAATGTGCACTCTCACACCTGGGCTATAGAAATGTCATTTGTATCTATCTCATTTTCACTGCATAGGTATACTGTATATGAGTTTTAGTTTTTTTTATTCAATTTCTTATACATCTTTGAGGGTAACTGGAAAATAAGGCTGAAGGAGGTCTGGCTTTAGTTTGTCTTGAGACTCTCCTTATTTTCATAGATTATGCAACATGAATACTATCAAAAGTTCAATGTCAAACCAATCAAAAAAGGGCACGGAATCAGGCAATGTCTAATTTTATCTGAAAGGATGGCTTATTTTTTGGAGGATTTTCTTTATTTTGTTGATGAATTATTGGCATATGGGCAACTGCAGAGCAAATTAACTGCACTGATTTGGCATGTGTATCTGGTAGTAGTGCTTTTTCCTCTCTCAGACCTGTGCATGCTGTCTGTGGCTCCATTCACTGTTTCAGTACCCTTCTGTTTATTAAGCTCTTTGTTGTTGGGCTGCTCGGCGGGTTGCCATCTCTACATCAGTTCAATATAATCTAGCCAACATGATGTTTCATTATCCATGCATCCCTCAAATCCCCAAAGGAGTACAAGCCATATTCTTCCCATCCCTGCTATCCCCTAGTAGCCTAGTACATACACCATCTTCTGTTAGATTGTATAATTAAAGTATGTGGTTCTCCATAGAGTAAGAGATGCACTTCCCCCCTAAAAAAAACTACCTGTCATGGCCATTGGACTGAAACAATCCTTTTACCTGTGGACCGTTCTTCCCAAAAATCTCAAACAAATCTGTTATTAACCATGTGTTGTGTTTTCTGTGTCCCTCGTTGATGAAGATATTAACAGTTGAATCCCTCCTGTCTTGGGTGTGGAAAGGGCTACTGCATCACCCTAGCTGTCATAGCATTGTGTTCATGTGGTCAATATATTTCTGTTTTTATCCTTTTTTGTTTCTACTTGTTTTCTCTTTTGGTCTTCATTCCTTTTTCCTTTGTGGACTCTATCCTTTTCTTCTCCTTTCTATTCCCATGTTCACCTCCCTCTCTCTCCTCTTTCCCCGACTGTGTTGTTGTCGTTTCCCTCCTCTTCCTCCCCTGGTTGTGACGGGTCGTACAGCTGGCGCTGCTGCAGTATCGCCTCAGTATGTCCAGCATGCCGTGCCAACCCCTGACCCCTTCTGGCTCTGGGACCTTCGACACGTACCAAGTACTTTCCCTTTTTCATTCAATCCCACTGGGCTTGCTGGAGGTAAAACTAGGCCCTGAGGACAGAGTAGCGTTAAGGTTAGGACAGGATGTTCAAGGGTACTTCTCTTCAAGAAAGCATTTTAATGCTGTTACAGTGCATTCTATAAAACCAACTGCCTGGACGCAACAAGTCAAAGACCTATCCTTGGATGGAGCCCATTTTGACAGCACAACATTTTGACATAATGTCAGACAAACCTCTTACAGTAGAATCTGGACTAGAGAAGTATCCTTGAAAGGAGACTGTGCATTTTTAGAATTAGAAGAGATTGACGTTTTAATTTGTGTTTGTGCACGCACCCTTTTTTATTTTGGTCTTGCTGATGTTGTGGCTCACTTATGTGGTTAATGTGTGTACCATTTTTGTCTTTCTCATTTCACATTTTTCCATTATGTGCAAACAATACTACAGTATACAAAACATGAATAACCAAATTGCCCTAAATCAATGAATTCTTCATCAAATTGTCTAACTCATCATTCTAAGAATAATGGACCTGAATATCAATTTAAAGTGTGCCTGTTTCTGAGCTAGACACATTGAATGCCTTTTCCAGTAGGCATTTTCAACAGCAGGGTCATTTGAAACAGTACTAGGAATAGGGGAATGTTCCAAGCCCACTGTGTGATTGGTTATTGTTGTCCGAGGAGCTTCATGTGATTGACTGCTGTCCCAGTGGATCTGTGTATGACTGGCTGCTGTTTCAGGAGCCCTTCACCCCGACAGAGGAGCATGTTCTGGTGGTTCGTCTCCTGGTGAAGCACCTCCATGCCTTCTCCTGCAGCCTGAAGCCTGAGCAGGTCTCCTCCTCGCCCTCTGCTCACTCCCACCCCAGCCCCCTGGAGGAGTTGAAGAGGTGAGCTGAGCAGTGAGCACCACCAGGGTCCACATTCTATCTAAAACTTTACTGTAACTTTAAACCGTCTAGATCTAGTTTGGCTTCTAATTCATTATGGCCCCGTCATTGGTCTGTCTCTAGGGTGGTTGTCCAGCGTTTTGTCCAGCAGAAGCTATATGTGTTCCTCCAGCACTGCTTTGGTCACTGGCCTTTAGATGCCTCCTTCAGAGTGGTAGGTATCACACCTCATTCCTCAACCTTCTCGGGTTGGGTGTTGGTGTCAATCCCAACTTTCTCTCATTGGGTCCAACCAATACAACTTGCCACATCTATAATGGAGATCAATTTTTGTGTGCTCTTCTCTCTAAAGCACCACTGTCTCTCTGTGTTTAGGTGTTAGAGATGTGGCTTAGCTACATCCAGCCATGGAGGTACACAGGGGAGAAGACCAATCCTCAGACACACCAGAACAAAGGTGTACCTGAGAAATGGTGAGTTGTCTGTTGGATCACCAGATAGGTCAGGCTAAATAAATGTTAGCAGTGCTTCCTTCAAGTCTTTAATTCTGAGATACTGACTAGTATTTGTCTTATTGCTTCCTCCAATTTTTATATCCATCTTCCTGACAGTTTTTCTCAACAAATTTCAGGAGCTCGTTTGTTCAGGAGAACCTACTCATGTACACCAAGCTCTTTCAGGGCTTCCTAAACAGGGTGGTACGCACAGACCTGGTCAATGTAAAAAATGCACTAATGGTCTTCAGGGTGGCTAAAGTCTTCGCTCAGCCAAACCTATCAGAGATGATTCAGAAAGGTAAGGACAAACAGTCACCCAGCCTTATGATACTTGTGTGACGCATATGCACTAATAGTAATGTAATGGTCCAGCTACAGCAGTCTGAGCTGTCACTGCCCTGTCCCTCCCCTTCCTGTCCCTCCCCAGGAGAGCAGCTGTTTCTGGAGCCGGAGCACGTCCTCCACCACCGGCAGCACCGGGGCTTCCTCACGCCGGGCCACGGTGGCAGCTTTCTATCTGCACGGCAGCCTGTGGTGACAGACTGGGTGTTCAAGGTGAAGAGCCACGTGTACGGCCTGGAGGGACCGGACTGTCAGTACAAACAGATGTTTGGCACGGAGCTGAGGGGCGCGGTGAGTGGAGCTGAGGGGACCATAGTAGCGATCGAGTTCATTTCAATTCCAGATAGTTTGTAATTCCCTGTTCTGAAATTGAACATAACTTTGGGAGAAAATATCTGAGATTTCTAAGCGTGCCACTGAGGGCTAATAGTGAGCTAGTATTAGCCACCAGCTATCAGCACAATCTGTGTGGATTTGATTGAATTAGCTTGGCTTACTGTTAGTGCTGAGCGGAGAGAAGAAGAAAAAAAATTTAGAAAAAAAAAAGTTTTGTTTTTAAACAGCTAATTGACCAATGTCGGTTCAATTATTAGAATTCCTTTTCTTTTTTTGTGAGCTCAATGCGCACATTGCACAGTTTCTCTAGAGCTCAATCAGATCTGAGCTGTGCAATGTAGTAGGGAGTTGTACTTTCCAACAGGCCAATTTTCTACATAGTTTAGCGCATAAAACGTGGTAATTAACTACAATGACAATAATCCATTGCGCATCTACTTCTCCAGTCTGTTTCTTTTACGCCTGCTACGGAAGAGACAGAAGAATGCGCGATCATGAGGGGATATAGAGTGCAGCTGTTGCTTCGTGAGGTATCTACCTGAAAATACATGATCTAAGTGATTGATAGTTGATATTCAGCAGTCATCAAAATAGTGATTTTGTCAGACAGCATAGGCAGCAGCTCTATAGAGATGAGATTACTTGGAATTAAATATAAAGTCATCAAATAAAACAAATGTAATATACTCAACTGAAATATTTTAGTAAAGTAATGTGAGTAAATTATGGTTAATAAGTGATAAGCAATAATGGGCAGTCACTACCATCATGGGACTTTTATTAATTGTTGTGTTCTGTGTTACAGCGTTCAACTCAAATAATCGAAAAACTTGATTTTTATATTTTTATAATGTAACTGAAACCGAACCTCCTCAAAAAGCACTAATCACTCAGCACTACTTACTGTTCACTAATTGTATCACTCATTAGTTAACTGTAGTCTCAGTTGGGTAAAATGTAAAAATGGGGGGGGGACAATAAAATACAGTATCAAAATATTATTTTTGACTAAAGGTATCGATTGTCATAAAAATTTGAATTTGTAGTTAACATTGGCTAGCGCTAGTTGGCTGTACCTGCACCAAAACTTCGGTATATCAAATTGTATTTCTCGCATTCAACATGTGGAGACCTTACTGTGAAATGCTTACTTACAAGCCCTTAACCAACAATGCAGTTTTAAGAAAAATAAGAGTTTAAAATATTTACTAAATAAATTTAAGAGTAACAATAACGAGGCTATATACAGGGGTTACCGGTACCGAGTCAATCTGCGGGGGTACAGGTTAGTCGGTCATTGAGGTAATATGTACAGTTGAAGTCGGAAGTTTACATACACTTAGGTTGGAGTCTTTTTTTAAACTTGTTTTTCAACCATCGGTACCCCCTTTATATAGCCTCGCTACTGCTCTTTAATTATTTGTTTTAATTTTTTACTCAATTTATTACTTAACACTTTTTTCTTAACTGCATTGTTGGTTAAGGGCTTGTAAGTATTTCACTGTAAGGTACTCCTGTTGTATTCGGCACATGTGACAAATACAATTTGATTGGAGTCAACATGGGCCAGCATCCCTGTGGAACGGTTTTGACACCTTGTAGAGTCCATGCCTCAACGAATTGACAAAAGTAGGTGCAACACAATATTAGGAAGGTGTTCCTAATGTTTTGTATACTCAGTATAGTGAGCAATATATTTGCCGTATCGAATCGCAATACATATAGAATCATGATAACTCGTGATACATAGTGGCTTGCGAAAGTGTTCACCCCCCGGCATTTTTCCTATTTTGTTGCCTTACAACCTGGAATCATTTGATTTACACAACACGGATACCACTTTGAAGATGAAAAATCAACAAGAATTAAGACAAAAAAACTGAACTTGAGCTTGCATAACTATTCACCCCCCCCTAAAGTCAATACTTTGTAGAGCCACCTTTTGCAGCAATTACAGCTGCAAGTTTCTTGGTATGTCTCTATAAGCTTGGCACATCTATCCACTGGGATTTTTGCCCATTCTTCAAGGAAAAACTGCTCCAGCTCCTTCAAGTTGGATGGGTTCTGCTGATGTACAGCAATCTTTAAGTCATACCACAGATTCTCAAATGATTAAGGTCTTGGCTTTGACTAGGCCATTCCAAGACATCTAAATGTTTCCCCTTAAACCTTTACAGTGAGGGGGAAAAAGTATTTGATCCCCTCTCAATCAGAAAGATTTCTGGCTCCCAGGTGTCTTTTTTTTATACAGGTAAAGAGCTGAGATTAGGAGCACAGTCTTAAAGGGAGTGCTCCTAATCTCAGCATGTTAACTGTATAAAAGACACCTGTCCACAGAAGCAATCAATCAATCAGATTCCAAACTCTCCACCATGGCCAAGACCAAAGAGCTCGCCAAGGATGTCAGGGACAAGATTGTAGACCTACACAAGGCTTGAATTGGCTACAAGACCATCGCCAAGCAGCTTGGTGAGAAGGTGACAACAGTTGGTGCGATTATTCGCAAATGGAAGAAACCCAAAAGACCTGTCAATCTCCCTCGGCCTGGGGCTCCATGCAAGATCTCACCTCGTGGAGTTGCAATGATCATGAGAATGGTGAGGAATCATCCCAGAACTACACGGGAGGATCTTGTCAATGATCTCAAGGCAGCTGGGACCATAGTCACCAAGAAAACAATTGGTAACACACTATGCCGTGAAGGACTGAAATCCTGCAGCGCCCGCAAGGTCCCCCAGCTCAAGAAAGCACATATACAGGCCCGTCTGAAGTTTGCCAATGAACATCTGAATGATTCAGAGGAGAACTGGGTGAAAGTGTTGTGGTCAGATGAGACCAAAATCGAGCTCTTTTGGCATCAACTCAACTCGCTGTGTTTGGAGGAGGAGGAATGCTGCCTATGACCCCAAGAACACCATCCCCACCGTCAAACATGGAGGTGGAAACATTATGCTTTGGGGGTGTTTTTCTGCTAAGGGGACAGGACAACTTCACCGCATCAAAGGGACGATGGACGGGGCCATGTACCGTCAAATCTTGGGTGAGAACCTCCTTCCCTCAGCCAGGGCATTGAAAATGGGTCGTGGATGGGTATTCCAGCATGACAATGACCCAAAACACAAGGCCAAGGCAACAAAGGAGTGGCTCAAGAAGAAGCACATTAAGGTCCTGGAGTGGCCTAGCCAGTCTCCAGACCGTAATCCCATAGAAAATCTGTGGAGGGAGTTGAAGTTTCGAGTTGCCAAACGTCAGCCTCAACCTTAATGACTTGGAGAAGATCTGCAAAGAGGAGTGGGACAAAATCTCTCCTGAGATGTGTGCAAACCTGGTGGCCAACTACAAGAAATGTCTGACCTCTGATTGCCAACAATGGTTTTGCCACTAAGTTATGTTTTACAAAGGGGTCAAATACTTATTTCCCTCATTTAAAATGCAAATCAATTTATAACATTTTTGACATGCGTTTTCCTGGATTTTGTTGTTCTGTCTCTCACTGTTCAAATAAACCTACCATTAAAATTATAGACTGATCATTTCTTTGTCAGTGGGCAAATGTACAAAATCAGCAGGGGATCAAATACTTTTTTCCCTCACTGTAGCAGTATGCTTAGGGTCACTGTCCTGCTGGAAGGTGAACCTCCATCCCAGTCTCAAATCTCTGGAAGACTGAAACAGGTTTCCCTCAATTTTCCTGTATTTAGCACCATCCATCATTCCTTCAATTCTGACCAGTTTCCCAGTCCCTGCCGATGGAAAAACATCCCCACAGCATGATTCTGCCACCACCATACTTCACTGTGGGGATGGTGTTCTCGGGGTGATGAGAGGTGTTGGGTTTGCGCCAGACATAGCGTTTTCCTTGATGGCCAAAAAGCTCAATTTTAGTCTCATCTGACCAGAGTACCTTCTTCCATATGTTTGGGGAGTCTCCCACATGCATTTTGGCAAACACCAAACGGTTTATTATTTGTTCTTTAAGCAATGGCATTTTTCTGGCCACTCTTCTGTAAAGCCCAGCTCTGTGGAGTGTACAGCTTAAAGTGGTCCTGTGGACAGATACTCCAATCTCTGCTGTGGAGCTTTGCAGCTCCTTCAGGGTTATCTTTGGTGTCTTTGTCTCTCTGATTAATGCCCTCCTTGCCTGGTCTGAGAGTTTTGGTGGGCGGCCCTCTCTTGCCAGGTTTGTTGTGGTGCCATATTCTTTCCATTTTTTAAATAATGGATTTAATGGTGCTCCGTGGGATGTTCAATTTATTTTTATTTTTTAATAACCCAACCCTGATCTGTACTTCTCCACAACTTTGTCCCTGACCTGTTTGGAGAGCTCCTTGGTCTTCATTGTGCCGCTTGCTTGGTGGTGCCCCTTGCTTAGTGGTGTTGCAGACTCTGGGGCCTTTCAGAACGTATGTATGTATACTGAGATCATGTGACACTTAGATTGCACACAGGTGGACTTTATTTAACTAATTATGTGACTTCTGAAGGTAATTGGTTGCACCAGATCTTATTTAGGGGCTTCATCCCAAAGGAGGTGAATACATATGCAGGCACCACTTTTCCGTTATTGATTTTGTATAATTCTTTTTTGAAACAAGTTATTTCTTTCACTTCACCAATTTGGTCTATTTTGTGTATGTCCATTACATGAAATCCAAATAAAAACCCATTTAGATTACAGGTTGTAATGCAACAAAATAGGAAAAACGCCAAGGGGGGTGAATACTTTTGCAAGGCACTGTATAGAATCAGGTCCCCTGTAGCTCAGTTGGTAGAGCATGGCGCTTGCAACGCCAGGGTTGTTTCTCCCACGGGGGGCCAGTATGAAAATGTATGCACTCACTAAGTGCGTTTGCTAAATGACTAAAATGTAATATCGTATCGGCACCTAAGTATCGTGATAATATCGAATCGTGAGGTCCCTGGCAATTCCCAGTGTTAGTAAAATGAGCTAGCTACATTCTGCAAGATTAGATCTCTCTGAACTGTCTTCTGTGTTGCTTGCTGACTGTCTTGGGAAGACTACATTCTTCTTGCTTCTCACAACAGACCCAACTGCCCAGGCCTGCCCTTCGTCTTAGATGGACCAATCAGCAACTACTCCTTTTGTCTGTTTTTTTTTATGCTGCATATAAACGTGGTCAGTTGTCATCCTCCTTTGGTCTAGGTCTTAAAGCTTATTCAGATCATCGCCCAGGCAAGGCAGACCGCTGAGAGGATATCAGATCAGTCAGCTGAGGTGGCGGCCAGCAACTCCTTCATGTCCTGGTTTGGAATGGGCTCCCCCGACCTCAACTATACCTTCAATGGAGGAGAGGTAGATGACACCGGGGAGTGTGTCAAGAAGACCCACGAGTTTCTGGAGAGGTCACTGGACTACCTCTGTCAGATATTTCGGGTAGGTTTACACATCACTTTTCCTGAACATTTAGCATGAGCTAATGCTTAAAGTTGAGCACTGCTGCAATTGATATTTACTCAAACTTAATTCCTCAACTCATCTAATCAGTTTTGGTGAAAAATGTCATGCTATGCTTTGTCGTCTACAGCTGAATGCAGGACAGCTGTCTCAGCTGATGGCTACCCTGGGCTCTGGTCAGGACGATGGGAACTCCAAGCAGCTACCAGACTCTGTTCAAGGGGAGAATGGACTCATCCTCACAGACCTGGGCCGGATGCAGGTCAGACTACTTATTCAACTCTAGTAACCTAACCCCAACAACACCTATATCATAAGGGATGGATCTATCGCTACATATCTCACACACACTGTTAAATATGTTATGTTTTTGCAGGTCATCAATGGACTGCGTAGATTTGAGATAGAGTACCAAGGGGACCCGGAGCTTCAGCCCATCAGGAGCTATGAGAACGCCATCCTGGTCAGACTGTTCTTCAAGATCTCATCTCTGGTGAATGAGAGGGTATGTGACATGGCAATTCTTTGTGATTTGCAAAACTGATACCCTAAACCTGTCAATCATCTCTTTGCCTGTGAGACCTCAGCAGTGCTGTTAACTATCATTATCTATTATGAAATATGTACATCAGTTGTATACACCCAAAAGATGGTGAACTGAGAGAATATGGGTTTTCATAGTCAGAGTTCTGTCTGTATTGGCCTGTCATAATGGTTGCCCCTCTCCCATCCACAGTTCGGAGGTCACATGGATGCTCTGTGCTCGCAGCCGGACTTCCTGGGCCAATTGGGACGTTACTACCTGGCCAGCTCCGAGGCCATGGCGGATGGCAGGAGCCCGGAGACGCGACGAACAGCGGCGAGGAACCGACGGCCGCGGCTAAGCCTGCGCACGCTGGCGAGCTACAGAACTCTGCTGATGCTTCTACTGCTCTACCTGTTTGGGGCACTGTTCTCATTCGGCCCAATGTCCAGCACACTGCTCATCCTTACAGGAGGCTTTCTCTACGGACTCTTCATTGCCTTGTTTGGAGATAAACTCAAGTCCCAGTAGCAGGGGAATTAAATGGCTTTTTTTGCCACTTGCCTTCATGCTTGGCCACCTATTGTGATAAATGTTCCTTTTTTAATCTTGTAAATAAATGCAAGTGCCTTGCTGTTCGGATGACGTTATGCTAAATATATATTTTTTTATCAGTTTTACTGATTGACAGATGTAAAGGATTGTTTGATAAATTCTAACAAGATATTGACTGTTTTTCATTTAACAATGAAAGGATGGTGGTGATTATCCTTTAAACTACAAGATTTGCAGTGTAATACCCAAATGTATTTATTCATGAGATGGCCATAAACAATTAATTACTGGTAATGTTGCATAGTTTTAGAAAGGTCTGGAACTTACCTTTCTGGTAAAGAATTTTTTTTGTTATAAATTGCTGAGGTGTACTCACTTGAGGACACAAGCTCAAGGACAAATAATTTAATTGTTTTTCCTGTTGGGCAAATGGGGCTTGAAATAACTAAAATGCTTTATACGCTGAACAAAAATATAAACGCAACATGTGAAGTGTTGGTGTCATGATCTGAAATAAAAGATCCCAGAAATGTTCCATATGCACAATAACTTATTTCTCTCTCATGTTGTGTCCAAATTTGTTTATATCCCTGTTAGTGTGCATTTCTCCTTTGCCAAGATAATCCATCCACGTGACGTGTAGCATATCAAGAAGCTGATTAAACAGCATGATCATTACACAGGTGCACCTTGTGCTGGGGACAAAAGGCCACTAAAATGTTCAGTTTTGTCACAACGCAATGTCACAGATGTCTCAAGTTTTGAGGGAGAGTGCAATTGGCATGCTGACTACAGGAATGTCCACCAGAACTGTTGCCAGAGAATTTACTGTTAATTTCTCTACCATAAGCTGCCTCAAACATCATTTTAGAGAATTTGGCAGTACGTCCAACCGGCCTCACAACCGCAGACCATGTGTATGGCGTCGTATGGGCGAGCGGTTTGCTGATGTCAACGTTGTGAACCGAGTGCCCCATGGTGGCGATGGGGTTATGGTATGGGCAGACATAAGCTACGGACAACGAACACAATTGCATTTTATCGATGGCAATTTGAATGTACAGAGATAATGTGACGAGATCATGAGGCCCATTGTCGTGCCATTTATCCGCCGACATCACCTCATGTTTCAGCATGATAATGCACAGCCCCATGTCGCAAGGATCTGTACACAATTCCTGGAAGCTGAAAATATCCCAGTTCTTCCATGGCCTGCATACTCACCAGACATGTCACCCATTGAGCAAGTTTGGGATGCTCTGGATCTAAGTGTACGATAGCGTGTTCTAGTTCCTGCCAATATCCAGAAACGTCGCACAGCCATTGAAGAGGAGTGGGATAACATTCCACAGGCCACAGCCTGATCAACTCTTTGCGAAGGAGATGTGGCGTGCTGCATGAGGCAAATGGTGGTCACACCAGATACTGACAGTTTGTTTTATCCACGACCCTACCTTTTTTTAAGGTATCTATGACCAACAGATGCATATCTGTATTCCCAGTCATGTGAAATCCAAAGATTAGGGCCTAATGAATTTATTTCAATGTACTGATTTTCTTATATGAATTGTAACTCAGTCAAATATTTTAAATTGTTGCATGTTGCATTTATATTATTGTTCAGTGTAGTAGAAAACGTGAAGGAGGCCTGTGAAAAATGTTCACTGGGCCAGCTCGTCTTTGTCTGATATTATTGTATTGCCTACACAGCACCTGGGTGCTCATTCTATACTAAAAAAACAACCCTACATCCACACTATAGCTAAATAACATAGCAATATTTTATTATGTTTTTCCAGCAAGATTGATCTGTTAGAATATTACATTTTACATTTACATTTTAGTCATTTAGCAGACGCTCTTATCCAGAGCGACTTACAGGAGCAATTAGGGTTAAGTGCCTTGCTCAAGGGCACATTAACGTCATCTAGCGGACGCTCTTAGCCAGAGCGACTCACAAATTGGTGCGTTCACCCTATAGCCAGTGGGATAACCACTTTACAATTTTGGGGGGGGGGGGGGGTAGAAGGATTACCTTATCCTATCCCAGGTATTCCTTAAAGAGGTGGGGTTTCAAATGTCTCCGGAAGGTGGTGAGTGACTCCGCTGTCCTGGCGTCGTGAGGGAGCTTGTTCCACCATTGGGGTGCCAGAGCAGCGAACAGTTTTGACTGGGCTGAGCGGGAACTATGCTTCCGCAGAGGAAGGGGAGCCAGCAGGCCAGAGGTGGATGAACGCAATGCCCTCGTTTGGGTGTAGGGACTGATCAGAGCCCGAAGGTACAGAGGTGCCGTTCCCCTCACTGCTCCATAGGCAAGCACCATGGTCTTGTAGCGGATGCGAGCTTCAACTGGAAGCCAGTGGAGTGTGCGGAGGAGGGGTGTGACGTAAGAGAACTTGGGAAGGTTGAACACCAGACGGGCTGCGGCATTCTGGATGAGTTGTAGGGGTTTAATGGCACAGGCAGGGAGGCCAGCCAACAGCGAGTTGCAGTAGTCCAGACGGGAGATGACAAGTGCCTGGATTAGGACCTGTGCCGCTTCCTGTGTAAGGCAGGGTCGTACTCTCCGAATGTTGTAGAGCATGAATCTGCAGGAGCGGGTCACCGCCTTGATGTTGGCGGAGAACGACAGGGTGTTGTCCAGGGTCACGCCTAGGCTCTTCGCACTCTGGGAGGAGGACACAGCGGAGTTGTCAACCGTGATGGCGAGATCATGGAACGGGCAGTCCTTCCCCGGGAGGAAGAGCAGCTCCGTCTTGCCAGGGTTCAGCTTGAGGTGGTGATCCGTCATCCATACTGATATGTCTGCCAGACATGCAGAGATGCGATTCGCCACCTGGTTATCAGAAGGGGGAAAGGAGAAGATTAGTTGTGTATCGTCAGCGTAGCAATGGTAGGAGAGGCCATGTGAGGATATGACAGAGCCAAGTGACTTGGTGTATAGGGAGAAAAGGAGAGGGCCTAGAACTGAGCCCTGGGGGACACCAGTGGTGAGAGCACGTGGTGCGGAGACAGCTTCTCGCCACGCCACTTGGTAGGAGCGACCGGTCAGGTAGGACGCAATCCAGGAGTGAGCCGCGCCGGAGATGCCCAGCTCGGAGAGGGTGGAGAGGAGGATCTGATGGTTCACAGTATCAAAGGCAGCAGACAGGTCTAGAAGGACAAGAGCAGAGGAGAGAGAGTTAGCTTTGGCAGTGCGGAGAGCCTCCGTGACACAGAGAAGAGCAGTCTCAGTTGAATGACCAGTCCTGAAACCTGACTGGTTTGGATCAAGAAGGTCATTCTGAGAGAGATAGCAAGAGAGTTGGCTAAAGACGGCACGCTCAATAGTTTTGGAAAGAAAAGAAAGAAGGGATACTGGTCTGTAGTTGTTGACATCAGTGGGATCGAGTGTTGGTTTTTTGAGAAGGGGAGCAACTCTCGCTCTCTTGAAGACGGAAGGGACATGGCCAGCGGTCAAGGATGAGTTGATCAGCGAGGTGAGGTAGGGGAGAAGGTCACCGGAGATGGTCTGGAGAAGAGAGGAGGGGATGGGGTCAAGCGGGCAGGTTGTTGGGCGGCCTGCAGTCACAAGTCGCAGGATTTTATCTGGAGAGAGAGGGGAGAAAGAAGTCAAAGCATAGGGTAGGGCAGTGTGAGTAGGACCAGCAGTGTCATTAGACTTAACAAACGAGGATCGAATATCGTCAACCTTCTTTTCAAAGTGGTTGACGAAGTCATCCACAGAGAGAGAGGGGGGGGGGGGATTCAGCAGGGAGGAAAATGTGGCAAAGAGCTTCCTAGTGTTAGAGGCAGATGCTTGGAATTTAGAGTGGTAGTAAGTGGCCTTAGCAGCAGAAACAGATGAAGAAAATGTAGAGAGGAGGGAGTGAAAAGATGCCAGGTCGGCAGGGAGTTTAGTTTTCTTCCATTTCCGCTCCGCTGCCCGGAGCTCTGTTCTGTGAGCTCGCAATGAGTCATCAAGCCACGGAGCTGGAGGGGAGGACCGAGCCGGCCGGGAGGATAGGGGACACAGAGAGTCAAAGGATGCAGAAAGGCACTTATCAAGAGAACATCCCCGGTCTACTGCCTGTGATGTGGCGCTCACTAAACACAAATGCTTTGTTTGTAAATTGTGTCTGAGTGTCTGGTGTACCCCTGGCTATCCGCAAAAAAAAAAAAAAAATATGCCATCTGGTTTGCCTAATATAAGGAATTTGATAAGATGTATACTTTTACTTTTGATACTTAAGTATATTTAAAACCAAATACTTTAAAACTTTTACTCAAATAGTATTTTACTGGGTGACTGTCACTTTTACTTGAGTCACTTTCTATTAGGGTATCTTTACTTACACCAAAGTATGACAATTGGGTACTGTTTCCACCACCGTGTAAATGCAACAAGTCCTGATACTGTATCATGTAATAGCACTCAGCTTTCCGAGAAACGTGGCCGGAAGTCTCGCGATGTTGATCCTCTTGGGTTTAGAAACTCTGCTACACACAGGTCAATTCGGCATTCACAGAGTGCTTTGTACACCATGTCAGTTGGAACCGGGCCAGAACCGCTCAAAGTCCCCCATATGGGTCACTTAACATCTAAGAAATAAAGTCCTGAAAATTGAATTGAAGATGACATTATTTGCCTTAATCTTTTCTGTATGCTTGTCTATATGTGATCTTGCAAAGACGAGACAGACATTTACAGTGATACATTCGAATGGTAGAATGTTCAGATATGTTTTTATTTCCAGCCACCAGAACCAGACAGTCTGGTTGTCATGGCAACGTTGTATGCGTGTAGTGCATGTCCACCAAGACCAAGCACAAGGACAGTGAAAAGGGAAATAAATCGTTGTCAGTAGTGGCTGTGGGTAATCGCTGTATTTACCTTTTCTAGCTATCTCGTTAAATTGTTTCGAAACTTTGCATATTGTGGAGGTGAACAATCCATGCACCCGGGAACGTTTACGGTAAGGGGTTCTGGCTGCACGATTATTCATGCGGATAGGATGACCTGTTGTTGCTTGCTAGTCTAGCTAGCTACTGTAGCTAAGTTAGTTAGCCAGTTAAAACACTGTCGTGTTGCTAGCTAACCATATAGCTTAGATATGTCAGGCAACAGTCTTCCGCCTCTGCGAAATCTACCCCACTGGTCCCGCGTTGGATGTCTTGACAAGGCTTGCTTTCCACAACCACGGCCTTGCCCGGTCAACCACCTTGAACCGCTGTCCGATTCACCCCGTGGGGACAGAGGGGGAGAGGTCTCATCTCACCGCGATATGGATACTCGCGTTGCATCGCTTCAGAGGAATATTCAGTTCCTGCAACTACAGCACAAGGACACTCTTCAGAAGCTACACGGTGAAATAGAAGACCTCAGACGGGAAAATAAAGGTGAGTCAAACCTGTCCTCGTGTCTTTGCTGATGTTTTTGATTTCCAAAAGCGTCATCATAGGCAGCAGATTTGATTCTTGTCATCTTTGTACAGTAACGTTACTGAGTTAGAATAGCATATACAATGTATAGCCTTTCCCCCTTAACTATACCAATGCCACCATTTAAGCTACTGCCTTTCTTTCCCTACAGACTAACAGGCCTACACATTGGGTAGCCACTAGCCAGCAATAATTTGTATATGATCAAGTTTTCTTTAGTGGAAATCTGTATCTGTAATACATGTCTAATGTTTGCACGCTTTTTAGCATGATAATCACACAGATATCTGAGGATGAGGCACTGCTGACAGAGGTGACACACTATATCCTAGCACTAGTGTTTGAATGAGGAAAATGAAAGGATGGTTAGTATCTCACCGTGGGAGGCGGTGGAGTGCAGTATCACTTTACAGAACAGACAAGCTTCTCTATATCGCCTCTGCATCCTACCCCCCACAGAGATTTTTCAATCCATTTAAAAATAATCACATGGGTCCTCTGTCTTCACTCTGTCAGAGCAGCGAGACACATTGTGCCAAGGTTGCTCAAAGGACTTGTTACAAGAGCTTATAAACAGCATGGCAGTTGAGGTATGCTGTTGCTGCCACCTGTCATATGTCTTCTACATGACCTCCCTTTGACTTTGATGTTACAGAGCTGCAGTATAAGCTGATCATGGAACCTTCAAAGTCTTGCAGAAAAGGTAGGCTTCAATCATCTTTGACAACCTCTACGCTGAAAGGCTAGCTAAGTAGGCAAGGTCTATAATCCTCTTGGGACCAAGAAAGCATTGGATCTTGGACTTTCAGATCAGTGGTTGTGTTGTGGTTAGATATTACTTTTCGCAACATCACTTTAAGTTTCCTGTGTGGCGCATATGCCTACCTATTGGGGAAGGTATTTCTTTAGGATCAAGCCGCAGGAGCACAAGGCCACCAACACAGGGGAGTGAGGCCCAGATACAGAGAGGGATCTACCTGGAGCAACCTTTACAAGACACACGCCCATCTCAAGACCTAGGGCTCAGGTAAGCATCCATACCTCTACCCCCTAGTCCATCTCCTCCAATTGTCTTGTCTAAAAACACTTGTTTGACCCCCACGGAAGCAGTATAGCGGGGGACGGTTGTGTGGCTCACACCTACACTGAGACCGCTGGAGTGGCAAGGCAAGAACACGAGTCAGAGCTGAGGGGAGGCCTCATCACCTCTCTGCAGCCCCTCCGGATCCACAGCAGCCCATCCCATCCCCCCCGACCCCCCACCCTGCAGGAATGTGAGGTCATCATACGGCAGCTCTACAACGCCAACAGCCTGCAGTCTCAGGAGGTCAGATATCCTCAGACACATTGGTGCTATTGCACAGTCCCTTAGTATTGGCCAGCATAGCTACGGTTTAGAACAATTCTACTAAAACCGGTCATTTCGTGCAGCAGACAAATTAGATTCTCACATTGTAAAACCATAAACTACATAAACATTTCTTACATTTACAAGGGCATGCATGATTTCAGTCATTTGCCCAATAGCTAGTTGTTTTCTGGCCATGTTCTCCATAACTCAATGTAAAGTTTACATGGAGGACTGACTGTGTCAGTGTTTTTTCAGTGAGGTATCACTGTCCCTGATGGTTTGTTTCATATAGATTATACGTGTGAAGGCTGTCCTCCGAGACATCGTGTTCAACAAGAAAATCACTCCTGAGAACTACATCATGACAAAGGCCTACCTTGCTGATGGCACCAGGTAAACAGCAGTTTAGTAGGCATCTTTTTTTACCTGATTCAGTCATTTAAAAATATATATATAAATAAAAAATACAGGTAAATTGAACAATACATTTGACTTCCCTCTCAGCAAGGCAGATGTAGAGAGGTTTCCTCAACTAGCACTTCAACCACTTCCCAAGAGAATGTAAGTGAATCTTTCCTAATCTCTTATTTCATAAACATTAACATTGGTAGTGGAACAGCTATCCTCTATGTCCCTGTACCCTTTCCAGGTCTGGGAACCAGGCAGGGGTGACAGAGAGGGTGATCCTCCCAGCCCTCAAACAGCACCTGAGCTCCAGCATCGCAGAGAGGCAGAAGAGGACCCAGACTGTACAGAGGAGCAGGCTGAGGAGAACAGTGCATTGAGAAGGACAAACAGTACAGCAGCCCCAGCCAGCACTGCCGAACCAAAGCCTCTTTAACTAAGATCAGGACCGGCTCCTATTATGGCCATTGAAGGACTTCAATTACCACTGACTGAATGTTAACTTATATAAAGTTTATATTTCAATGTACATACATTTATAATTTTCCCTATTAAACTTATTTTGGTGTGTCGTTGTTGGTAGGTTGGTCAAGTTAGTTGAATTTCATCTTACGGGAAAGGATGATGGTGATGGATCTGGTTAATGAAAACAGGTGAACAGAAAATTATTTATTCTTGATAACAAAAAAACAAATTCCCTTACCAGTACATAAACACACTTCAAAGCTTTACACAGCAAAGTGGTCAGTTATTGGTTATACATTTTCTCACCTCAGAATTCTTTACAGAACACACCCCAAATGGGGTGTTGAAACCTCAGCAGCACACCCTAGTGGTGGTAGGGGAGAGCTGGCATTCCAAGGAGAGGTAGCCCACTCCTTTCAGTTTGCACAGTCTTTGTGATAAGTTATATTGTCTCCAGCAGAGGTTTGATGGAGAGGTGAGGTGAGCCTCTTGTCTACGCTGCAGAAAGACAGGCTTGTCTGACACTCTGGGCCCAGGTATTGAGCAGTGCAGTCACTGAGTGCTTGTCTGGGAGCTGTAGGAGTTTGGAGGTCATGTTTCTGTGAACGTTCTTTAGGAAGGGGTTGGCACCTGGAGAGGAAGACAAAGTGATGCATTAATCAATTAGAAAATGCATGAAACCTGAAAAACTGGCTACTGTCATGGCAGTATGGTAAAAAATATATATATGATTGTTATTTTGCTTGACATTTAATTTGTAACACATTTTAAACTGTAGGTAATATTGGACAACATTCCATTACAACCAAAGTTAAAGTAGAGTCAATTTGACTAAAACAGGCTCCATAGTTGAGTATGGGTACAGAGAGAGCCAGTGTGTCTTACCATACACTTGCCCATCGTCTGCCCACTGAGGGCTTTGGTCTGGGTAGTCTGCAGGGATGCTGAGCTGGAGAGGTGGCACACTTGGCAGGTTCTTGTCGTCTGGCGGAGAGAAGCAGAGAATGGCATCAGACATCAATTTATTTTATCTTTGAGGGAGGATAATGTGATTTCCCCCAGCCTTCATCTCTCAATGCCCTAAACCAGGGGTCGGCAACAGTAGGCCCATGGGCCAAAATCTGCCCGTGAGTGATGTTTTTGCCCCCCTAAACATTTTAGTAAGGATTTTCATTTTTGGTCAATGTACGATCAGAAATTCAGCTAGAAATGAGTTTAATTTAGAAAATCTGTTCCCACAAATGAAGAGGGAGACGTGATCGTGTCTCAATGTAACCGCGGCTGAATCTAGTTGCCTACCCCTGCCCTATACTCACCTAGTTTACAGATTAGATGCACAGTGCCGTTGTTACTGCAGAATGAGGGGTCCAGGTTGACCAGGAACTTGGCGTTGAGGCGGGCCACCTCCCCCTGCAGGATGTTGGGGATGGTCTGGCGGTCATCCTCCTCGTGTTTCCTCTTCCGGGCCACGATGGTGGGGCCCCTGTGGAGTGGAGAGGGGGAGATAATAGAGATGGGTGTCAGATGACGGCCTGATTCCACTTCTACTGTAGTCTTTCACACACTTTCTAAATGCACTGTAGGAAATGAGGATGGTCTTGTATCAATGACAGAAGTGGGCAGATCTAAAGCAGGGTCGCTCCAAAATGCCAGCCGAAAATGAGTTGTCGGGGGGGGCGGGGGGGGGGACATGGTTTCTGGACATGAAGGAGTGATTAGGGTAAACTCACGTGATGGGCGGCCCGTGGATGGCTGTCATGGCTGGGGCGAAGGTACGGTACAGGGAATGGTTGAAGACAGGCGAGCGGATGTTTGCCATGACGGCATCCAAGAGGGGCTGGCACAGGTACTGCTGCTTGGTGCAGGGCACAGGTGGAGGGGGTGGCGTCGGCTACAACAGGTTTAGGAAAAAGTCTTATTAATAAGCTAAATAGGGAAACATTTTGTTAAATAGTTGCTGGAGTTTTAGGTTCTTTACAACTAATAATTCACTTTCTTTTCCCCAATTTTGTCATATCCAATGACGATCTTGTCTCATCGCTGCAACTCCCCAACAGGAGAGGCGAATGTCGAGTCATGCGTCCTCCGAAACGCGACCTGCCAAACCGCGCTCCTTAACACCCGCCCACTTAACCCGGAAGCCAGCCGCACCAATGTGTCAGAGGAAACACCATTCAACTGCTGCCGACGTCAGCCTGCAGGCGCCCGGCCCGCCACAAGGGGCAGCGATGAAAAAATAATAATAATAATAATATGCCATTTAGCAGACGCTTTTATCCAAAGCGACTTACAGTCATGCGTGCATACATTTTTTTTTTTTTTTTTGAGACAACATCGTAATTGGATCGCAATTGGATATCACGAAATTGGGGAGAAAAGAGGGGTAAAAAAGCGATAAAAATAAAATGAAAAACGCGGTTTCAAGCTTACCACAGCCATATCATTCTTCAGTTTCTCCAGTGCTATCTCACACTTCTGTAAGGTCCTGAGAGGACACCTGCAAGTCAGGGAGAGGAGATACATTCAATAACCATTGTTAAGACCATCCTGGATGGGCACTGACACATACATAAGCAACACACTTGTATTATTTTACCTTGTGCTCGGGTCAGTGAGAATGTTCAGCAGGCTCTTCATCTTACTCAGGTCCTTTTTCCTATCTGTTGGGACACAAACTCCCTTTAGTGAGTGGGAATAGCCAAGAGTGGACATAGTAAGTCTTAGTAAGTAAGAAAGAGCATGGCATTAGTGCATACCTTCGTTTTTGTCTATCTTGTTGATCATCCTACGTAGTGGCTCAATGTATTTGGAAAGCTGTTTGAGTTTCTCCATGTACTGTTGGTCCTCCAGTTGAGAGGCCCCGACTGGACTTATCACTGAACTGGGGTTCCCTACACATCACCAGACAACCACATGGGACAACAATCAGAATACTCATGTACATTCAATATGTGTACACATATACAGGTGGCACTGAGAATGGGCTTGATTGGGCTTCCAATATTTGGCATAACAGGCAAATGGGAAACTAAAGATGTTCCATAGAAATCAACATCTTACATAAAGCCAATTAAGAATGTAAACTTTAGTAAAGAAAACAATCATAGGTGAAGTATGAGGCTTAGGAGCTTAGACCCCCACCTCTGTTCCAGTGAGGAGCTGGGACAGTACCTGGGGTGTTGAGCGGTCCTGGGGAAGGGACACCATAGTTCTGGGGGGTGCGTGCGGTGGCTGGGCTATGTGAGGGCTGGGGGGATGGGCTAGGCTGGAAGCCTCCCGGCGACGGTGTGGGACCAGAACTGCTGTGAAGAAACACAATACAGGGTCACAGTTGACACCAGAGAATTTCATTCCATTTCAAGACTAGACCTGAAATAAAACTTTAGAATGCCATATTCAAGTCAATAAGAGAGTGAGCATGCCAACTTTGCTCACCTGACTGAGTTTGGCTGGGAGGATGGGGGCTGTGGCGATGGCTGTGGCTGGGGAGGGGGGGGCATGGACTGGGGTGTCAGCACCTGTACCGGCGAGGGCGATGACATCATCTGGTGCTGCTGAACCTATGGAGGAGGTGAAAAGAAAAGAGGGAGCTCACACAAGAGGAACCAATCACTGGACACCCCAGCAACTCTTCAACTGGTTGGAGGCTGCATCACATTACCATCCAACCTTAATAGCAGGGAGGAAAACCTGCTTCATGACATCACAAGCCATTAGCCGACCAGGGCCTGAGTGCCTACTGAGGAAGATGGAAAGAAAATATATTTGAGTGTCTTATTGGTACTTACCAAACACAACGATGAATACTGGCCAGATGCCCAAATACTTAGCAAAATAATACACTACATTTCCAACAAAATCTATAGGCCTACTAGAGCTGGGCGATATGGACAAAAATCCATATTGCGATAAATTGACCAGTTGTTTGCGATATTGATAAATCAGCGATAAATTACGATAAATTATTTTGTGGGGAGGTGCTAGAGTTGGGCGATATGTACAAAAAGTAATTGTGATAAATGTAACTATTTTGCTGGATAACAATAAATACAACTATAAAAAAATATCTACTGGACAATTACTTTACATTAGTGGCAGGGCTCTAGACACATTTTTCCCAGACACAAGTAAGACAACTGAGATGGTAGCTTATGATTAAAAAAGTAAGCTATTTCATCTAACATATCCAGGGAATGTATGATTGTTATTTTGATGTGCACCCTGTCAAAATAGGATCCAGAATTAGCCTATTAGATAAAAACATTTGCCTCTTTGTGCATATCGGACTATAGGCTAAATATGATATTGTTGCTATATAGCCATGTAGACTAATTAATTAATATATCAGTAAATGTAGGCTAATGTCCTAAACATTTTTTTACAGCGCTAGGCCTAGGCTACTTGATGTAGGCCTATTCACTGCAAATGGCGCACTCCGCTCTGCGTCGAAACCATACTAGGCTTACAGCCTACTCCGGTTATAAAGTGGTGACATGAACTCAATATTAAGGGGTGAGAAATAAATGATATACTCACAGAAAGCTGTGACACTCCTCTCTGTAACTGGAACAGTAGTTGCTTTGAAAACTTTATTTTTCCCGCAATTGCATTTTGAGAAACGGTCAAATACTTGTGCTTCTCAGAACGCATCTCTCCCTCCTCCGTGCGCACAGTGGGGAGATGGAGTGGCTCGCTCGCACAGCAGCCGACAGGAAAACAGGGACAGGCAGATACTTTCACAGCAGGAATCCACATAATGCATATGTTATTACTGTGGGAAAAAATTGTTTCAGAACAATCTACAGGAATGTTGTGTAGCAAAATCACAACAAATTACAGACGTACGCAAAATGCTTCGGTAAGAGGAAGGCAATGTCGGTGTCGGTAATTTTCGGTTTATCGTCCCAGCTCTAAGGCCTACCCTTCATGGATTCCAAATCGGAACCTGCTTGTAGAAGCTACAACTCTCTTTCCATGAATCAACTATATACTGAGCATGAGAACAGACGTTCACTATCAGATCTAATTCCACTGGTCTGTGTAAGGAGCAGAAGAGGAGGTTTGGGAGGAGATTTGAGGGCTGCACTGAGGGGTAAGGGTTGGCATAAGGAAGCACACCAGAGGGACATGGTTTTAGGAGAGGTGGTGGTCAGAGTATAAAGACTGCCTGGTCACTCTACCCTGGCGTAAATACCTGTGGCAATTGCTGTCCTCCCACGGCAGCAGAGTTTGGAGGTATGGTGGGGTTCGGGGCAGCGCGGGGTAACCTGGGTGGAATTTGCATCCCAGGGCGGGGCATCATCATCTTGGAGGACAACAGAGGGGACAACAGACATGTCACAAGCAAAACAAGAAATGCAGTGCATCAGCGGAGATGAGGCGCATGCATGCACAACAGCACATATGCAAGCATGCTCCCAGGAACAAGACTTGTAAGGTACATTACACAAGCAGACATGTACAAACATATGCACGCACACTCACTGACAAAAATCACACAGTAACAGTCTTTAACCCTGGTGTGAGAAACACAGCCAGGCAGTGTTGCCATGACAACAGTGATGAGGCCTGCCGCAGCCAGTGGGAACATGCTCCCTCTCCTCTTTATTCACAAGGCCAAACCATGCATTGTGTATGACACAATTATTTAAATAGATTAGCTAAGTACAGAACGTAAACATCTGTCAACTGACTAGAAATAACAGATCATAATTTTTGGTTATCTAGCTTTAAGTATTTTGAATGGCCACCAATAGTGGAACCCCATTGTTCCCCCAAGTAAGAGGCTTGGCAGTGATTTCCCAACCCTGTCTATTGGTCAGTTGGATGAGAGGGTGGGGGTCCTTCAATGATTGATGATGCCATGTCTTTGCATCTAAGAGTAATGCTAGTAGATGTAGCAGCTGAGTTAAAGGATATATTTGGTTTGCAGGACAGAGTAGGCATGCAGTTGCAGCATTCATTGCATGAACACCACACATGCATGGAGGGGGAACAAGACATTCTAAAGTAGGTCTGAGGTATGATAAAGAGACATCCTCTGGGAGAGAAACGTTCATTTCTCTCAGCAGCCCACCTGTGGGTTTCATTCTGAGAAATCTTCAATAGGGAGGATAATTAGCATTGGGGTGAAGAGGTCTGGATTAATTCTAGTTTGGTATAGCTACTGTTTACAGGCCTCCTGGGCCGAATACAGTGTTCCTCACTGAGTTCCCTGAATTCCTATCGGACCTTGTAGTCATGGCAGATAATATTCTAATTTTTGGTGACTTTAATATTCACATGGAAAAGTCCACAGACACACTCCAAAAGGATTTCGGCACCATCATCGACTCAGTGGGTTTTGTCCAACATGTCTCCGGACCTACTCATTGCCACAGTCATACCCTGGATCTAGTTTTGTCCTGTGGAATAAATATTGTGGATCTAAATGTTTTTCCTCATAATCCTGGACTATCGGACCACCATTCTATTACATTTGCAATCGCAACAAATAATCTGCTCAGACCCCAACCAAGGATCATCAAAAGCCGTGCTATAAATTCTCGGACAACCCAAAGATTTCTAGATGTCCTTCCAGACTCCCTAAACCTACGCAAGGACCTCAGAGTACAAATATCGGTTAACCACCTTACTGAGGATTTTAATTTAACCTTGCGTAATACTCTAGATGCAGTCGCACCCCTAAAAACGAAAAACATTTTTAACAATAAATTTGCTCCCTGGTATACAGAGAATACCCGAGCCCTGAAGCAAGCTTCCAGAAAATTCTGACTAGCTTGGAAAGACAGTACCGTGCAATATCGAAGAGCCCTTACGGCTGCTCGTTCATCCTATTTTTCCAACCTAATTGATGAGAATAAGAACAACCAAAAATTTATTTTAGATACTGTCGCAAAGCTAACTAAAAAGCAGCATTCAACAAGAGAGGATAGCCTTCACTTCAGCAGTGATGAATTCATGAATTTCTTCGATGAAAAGATCATGATCATTAGAAAGCAAATTACGGAATCTGCGTATTTCTCCAAAGCTCAGTTGTCCTGAGTCTGCACAGAACTGCCAGGACCTAGGATCAATGGAAACACTCAAGTGTTTTAATCCTATATCTCGACACATTCTTGACCTGGAAAATGTATTATTTTTTTTTTTTACTATCGGCCTATATCGAATCTCCCATTCCTTTGTAAATTTTAAGGAAAAGCTGTTGCGCAGCAACTCACTGCCTTCCTGAAGACAAATAATGTATACGTCTGGTTTCAGACCCCATCATAGCACTGAGACTGCACTCGTGAAGGTGGTAAATGACCTTTTAATGGCGTCAGACCAAGGCTCTGCATCTGTCCTCGTGCTCTTAGATCTTAGTGCTGCTTTTGACACCATCGATCACCAAATTTTTTTGGCAAGATTAGAAACCCTAATTGGTCTACACGGACAAGTTCTTGCCTGGTTTGGATCTTATCTGTCGGAAAGATTTCAGTTCGTCTCTGTGGATGGTTTGTCCTCTGACAAATGAATTGTACGTTTCGGCGTTCCTCAAGGTTCTGTTTTAGGACCACTATTGTTTTCACTATATATTCTACCTCTTGGTGATGTCATTCGGAAACACAATGTAAACTTTCACTGCTATGCGGATGACACACAGCTGTACATTTCGATGAAACATGGTGAAGCCCCAAAATTGCCTTACCTGGAAGCCTGTGTTTCAGACATAAGGAAGTGGATGGCGGCACATTTTTTACTTTTAAACTCGGACAAAACAGAGATGCTAGTTCTAGGTCCCAAGAAACAAAGAGATCTGCTGTTAGATCTGACAATTAATCTTGATGGCTGTCTCAAATAAAACTGTGAATGACCTCGGCATTACTCTGGACCCTGATTTCTCTTTTGACGAACATATCAAGAATATTTCAAGGACAGCTTTTTTCCATCTTCGTAACATTGCAAAAATCAGAAACGTGTTGTCCAAAAATGATGCCGCGAAGCTAATCCATGCTTTAGTCACTTCTAGATTAGAATACTGCAATGCTCTACTCTCCGGCTACCCGGATAAAGCACTAAATAAACTTCAGTTAGTGCTAAACACGGCTGCTAGAATCCTGACTAGAACCAAAACATTTGATCATATTACTCCAGTGCTAGCCTCTCTACATTGGCTTCCTGTTAAGGATAGGGCTGATTTCAAGGTTTTACTGCTAACCTACAAAGCATTACATGGGCTTGCTCCTACTTATCTGGTCCAGCCGTACATACCTACACGTACGCTACGGTCACAAGACACAGGCCTCCTTATTGTATCTAGAACTTCTAAGCAAACAGCTGTAGGCAGGACTTTCTCCTATAGAGCTCAATGTTTATGGAATGGTCTGCCTATCCATGTGAGAGACGCAGGCTCGGTCTCGACCTTTAAGTCCTTACTGAAGACTCATCTCTTCAGTAGGTCCTGTAATTGAGTGTAGTCTAGCCCAGGGGTGCGAAGGTGAACGGCAAGGCACTGGAGCGACGAACCGCCCTTGCTGTCTCTGCCTGGCCGGCTTCCCTCTCTCCACTGGAGAGCTGGTGTAACTGAGTCAGGTTTGTAGGCCTCCTTGCTCTTTTTCAGTTCTGCCCACACATTTTCTATTGAGGTCAGGGCTTTGTGATGGCCACTCCAATACCTTGACTTTGTTGTGCTTAAGCCATTTTGCCACAACTTTGGAAGTATGCTTGGGGTCATTGTCCATTTGGAAGACCCATTTGCGACCAAGCTTTAACTTCATGACTGAGGTCTTGAGATGTTGCTTTAATATATCCACATCATTTTCCTTCCTCATGATGCCATCTATTTTGTGAAGTGCACCAGTCCCTCCTGCAGCAAAGCACCCCAACAGCATGATGCTGCCACCCCGTGCTTCACGGTTGGGATGGTGTTCTTTGGCTTGCAAGACCCCCTTTTTACTCCAAACATAACGATGGTCATTATGGCAAACAGTTCTATTTTTGTTTCATCAGACCAGAGGACATTTCTCCAAAAAGTACAGTCTTTGTCCCCATGTGCAGTTGCAAACCATAGTCTGGCTTTTTTATGGCGGTTTTGGAGCAGTGGCTTCTTCTTTGCTGAATGACCTTTCAGGTTATGTCGATATAGGACTCGTTTTACTGTGGATATTGATACTTCTGTACCTGTTTCCTCCAGCATCTTCACAAGGTCCTTTGCTGTTGTTCTGGGATTGATTTGCACTTTTCGCACCAAAGTACGTTCATCTCTAGGAGATAGAACGCGTCTCCTTCCTGAGCGGTATGATGGCTGCGTGGTCCCATGGTGCTTATACTTGCGTACTATTGTTTGTACAGATGAACGTGGTACTTTCAGGCGTTTGGAATTTGCTCCCAAGGATGAACCAGACTTGTGGAGGTCTACAATTTTATTTCTGAGGTCTTGGCTGATTTCTTTTGATTTTCCCATGATGTCAAGCAAAGAGGCACTGAGTTTGAAGGTAGGCCTTGAAATACATCCACAGGTACACCTCCAATTGACTCAAATGATGTCAATTAGCCTATCAGAAGCTTCTAAAGCCATGACATCATTTTCTGGAATTTTCCAAGCTTGTTTAAAGGCACAGTCAACTTAGTTTATGTAAACTTCTGACCACTGGAATTGTGATACAGTGAATTATAAGTGAATTAATCTGTGTGTAAACAATTGTTGGAAAAATTACTTGTGTCATGCACAAAGTAGATGTCCTAACTGACTTGCCAAAACTATAGTTTGTTAACAAGAAATTTGTGGAGTGGTTGAAAAATTAGTTTTATTGACTCCAACCTAAGTTTATGTAAACTTCCGACTTCAACTGTACTCTTATAATCTCCACCCGGCACAGCCAGAAGAGGACTGGCCACCCCTCAGAGCCTGGTTCCTCTCTAGGTTTCTTCCTTCCTAGGTTCCTGCCTTTCTAGGGAGTTTTTCTTAGCCACCGTGCTTCTACATCTGCATTGCTTGCTGTTTGGGTTTTTTAGGCTGGGTTTCTGTATAGCCCTTTGTGACATCTGCTGATGTAAAAAGGGCTTTATAAATAAATGTCATTGATTGATTGAAGTGTCTTGTGGAAATGAATCCTAGCTCTATCACTCTTTTGCTGGGAAGCGATGAGTACCAAGCATATCAGCGAATTCTCAAAAAGCACCATACAGTGCCTTCAGTATTCATGCCCCTTATTCCACATTTGTTGTGTTACAGCCTGAATTCCAAATGGATTAAATAGATTTCTCACCCATCTACACACAATACCCCATTATGACAAAGTGAAAACATGTTTAGACATTTTAGCAAATGTATTGAAAATGAAATACAGAAATATCTCATTTACTTAAATAAGTATTCACACCCGAGTCAATACTTTGTAGAAGCACCTTTGGCAGAGATGACAGCTGTGAGTCTTTCTGGGTAAGTCTCTAAGAGGTTTCCACACCTGGATTGTGCAACATTTACCCATTATTATTTTCTAAATTCTTCAAGCTCTGTCAAATTGGTTGTTGACCATTGCTAGATAACCATTTTCAGGTCTTGCCATAGATTTTCATGTAGATTTAAGTGAAAACTGTAACTCGGACACTTAGGAACATTGAAACACCAAAGTGTAATGAATAACTTCACCATGCTCAAAGGGATATTCAATGTCTGCTTTATTTATTTTTACCCATCTACCAATAGGTGCCCTTCTTTGTGAGGCATTGGAAAACCTCCCTGGTCTTTGTGGTTGAATCTGTGTTTGAAATTCACTGCTTGACTGAGGGACCTTTACGGATAATTGTATGTGTGGTGTACAGAGATTAGGTAGTCATTCAAAAATCATGCTAAACACTATTATTGCACACAGAGTGAGTCCATGCAACTTATTATATGTCTTGTTAAGCAAATTATCACTCTTGAACTTTAGGCTTGCCATAACAAAGGGTTTGAATACTTATTGACTCAAGACATTTCAGCTTTTCATTTTGTATTAATTCATTAAAATGTAAATAAACATAATTCCACTTTGACATTATGGGGTATTGCGTGTAGGCCAGTTACAAAAATATAAATGTATTCAATTTAAAATTCAGGCTGTTCCAAAACATAATGTGGAAAAAGACAAGGGGTGTGAATACTTTGAAGGCACTGTATATGCAAATGACAACAAACTAAATTGATTCCCTGGGTTACGTAGGAGATTCATCATTCTGTTCAAACCAAAGAACCTCTGAGCCATTAAGCAGCAACGTTGCCTTTATATGAATCGATGCAAACTTAAGTCTCGCTAGCTAATGCTAAGTGATAAAACAACCACTACTACCTCCTGGCTATGGCAGTAGCTTTAGTATGGCAACAGGCAACACAGAAAACTAAATATGGTCAATTATCCTTATTCTTCCTCAAGTCAGGTGACGCCAACAGTAGAGCTTGCGACCCAAAATTCAATCAACGCTGTCGTCAATCCAAACAGGTAAATCTGAAAGCATGGACTCACTCCAGGCCAGGCTCAGTGACCAGTGGCAGTCAATCAGTCCCACCACACCAGCTTGCAGTGCTCTTACCTGGCCAGGTACTACTGCCGCTAGCTGGGCCTGAGCTGCCGCCTGCTGGGCTTGCTGCGCTGCCTGCTGGGCTTGCTGGACTTGCTGCTGCTGCTGTTGCTGCTGCTGCAACGCTCTAGCCTGGCCACACACAAACACACAAAGCGCGCACACACACACACACACATACATACAAAGAACACACAGCACATACACACACATAGGGAAGCAAGCAAGCAAGCAGAGGGGTGCGTAAACGAGTTACTGGAATAAGTGTGTTATCCCAGAGACGATAGATTATGAATTTAGAGTGGACAACAAAAGGTCACCACTATTCTACAGATGTTGAACTAAACTTTTAATTAATTTTTTTCAATAACACCACCTCTGCTTTACCTGCAAGGCTTGGATCTTGAGCTGCTGCTGCTGCTGTTGCTGCTGCTGCTGACTGAGTGAGCTGATGGGTACGTGCTGTGTGGGGGCCATCTGCCCAGCAAGAGACTGGGGCACCATGCCCTGCTGCTGGGAGTGGGGGGGCAGCTGGGTCGGCTGGGGCTGAGACTGAACCTGTTGCTGCTGCTGTTGCTGCTGCTGCTGCTGGACCATGTGCTGGATGGACTGTGCCTGGGCCTGTGCTTGGGCCTGTGCATGCTGCTGTTGGAGTTGTAACTGAACTATCTGCTGTTGTTGCTGGTGCCTTGATGGGTGCATCTGAAGACAGATGGGGAGGGTGTGTAAATACTTAAGATACAGATTATTTGAAGCTTCAAAATATGCTCATTTTATTCTCATGTCATATTTGTTTCCCAAAAGATGAACCAATTCAACTGCCTTCTTGCATGTCTCCGTTAGCTTTTTAATGTACATCTAGGCAGGCTATCATGGCGGGGCTTTGAAGCTTATACCTGGTTCTGTTGTTGCTGGTTTTGGGCCTGCTGCTGCTGCTGGTTTTGGTGCTGCTGTTGGAGCTGTTGGTTCTGATGGTGTTGCTGCTGTAATTGTTGCAGCTTCAGCTGCTGCTGGACCTGAAACTGCTGCTGCTGTATGGCCGTCTGTTGTTGCATTGCTGTCTGCTGCTGCTGCTGCATGGCCGTCTGTTGTTGTTGTTGCATGGCTGTCTGTTGCTGCTGTGCCTGGAACTGCTGGAACTGGATGGACTGCTGCTGCTGGGCCTGCTGCTGGGCGATCTGCTGCATCTGCATCTGCCCTGGACCTCCTACTACAGGGAGGATGTGGACAAAACAGACACACATCCTCCAGCTGAGAACTTGGGGAAAGCCCTGGAGGAAAAGCCCTACACTTGAGCCTCACTGAGCACACATAAATAAGAGTCTGGAGCAGTGCATGTAAGCCGAGTTGAGCAGTTGGACACCCTGCTCATCTCACAGAGCGCTCCACATCCTTTCCCTCGCTCCAGTCAAATTGTGCCCGTGCAGCTCCCACTCATCTCCACCCACATGCTCTGAGCCTCACTGAGGACACAGAAATATGAGTTTGGAGGTCCCTGATACAAAATCAAATGTAATGAACGGTAGGCTACTCATCCAATTGTTTCTGTGGGCTAACAGACAGAATTCAAATAAGTAAGGGATCATCAACGAGGGGCTACGCGTTCTATGGAAAATAATGAATGACGTGGACGGTGTGTTCCACGAAGCGCTAGCGGAGTGGAACTACAGTGGTTCCTCATTTAAAAGTTGCATCATACTGCAGCACAGCTTGCAGGATGCTGCCATATGGTACAGTATGTTACAGTGCATGATGTCATAGTATTTTATTGTCAGCCATTGTTGCCGTTAATGTCCTTAATGCTTGTTGAAACCACCAGAGGGCATCTTTGAGGGAGTCTTTCTGAAGCCTGTTGGGGTTTGCTTACTTTCCCAAATAATCCTACAGAGGTCCATGCAGGCCAGACGTTTTGATTGCTATACCCTATCTGAAAGACCATAACAAGTTAATTAATTTAGTTGACATGAAGCAACCATAGCCTCAGCTACTATAGCACAGATAAATACATCTTAAAACATGCTATTCTGTTCTTTTGAAATAAACTGTCTTAGTGTCATGTTTTTTTGATGACCTTCTTCAACAAAATATGAATGGATTTCTTTGTGATTGTGTATATTACATTGATTTATTAGACTGGCGGCTATTGGTAGGCTACTCGTTGAGTCCAGGCTATTCTACTGTTAATATGCATACTTCACAGCAGACCTTCATGGCACTTTGAGGATTAAATGCTCAGTAAGTTTTTGTCTTTTATGATATTTATCTTAATGTAGGCCTACTGCTAGAGTGTAAAATACACATATTTCGGTAAATTCAGGGACAGGTGGGTTCAAGGTTTTATTGAAATGAAGCTATTGAAATGACATGGAGCTGTAGGCCTAAGAGTCCTGTTTACTGCAGCTGTTTTAGCATAACTTACTTATTGGCATAAAGGCCTACTTCAATATACAGTATATCAATCAATCATTAATTCGTGCATGTCATCACACAGCATCCAAGTCATCCATGTCTTTAAATACATTTACATTTTAGTCATTTAGCAGACGCTCTTATCCAGAGCGACTTACAGTTAGTGAGTGCATACATTTTCATACTGAAAATCAAGCATTTTTGTTATAAAACGAAATAACAAAGCCATCCTTGAATATTTAAACAATGAATAAACCGCAACATGTAGGCTAAAGCGATTGAATTCACGAATGCATTTGACTGTTTTTTATATTGGCTGTACTAGAGACTTTAAATCCTTTTTTTGTTAGAACAGACTATATGGGATTGATTATAATTTGTTTGTAAAGTATTATTGTATTTGTTGTGCTGTTTATACTGTTAGAAATTTAGGTTAATTAAATTGATTAATATTATGGTGTTTCTATTCCAAGAAAACAAATGCATTTTACAGTAGCCTATGTAGGCCTCAGGGTTTCCGTTAGGGTTAAGATGGCATTGTACAACGTGACCGGTTGGGAGTAGTCCTAGGCTACTAAGCGACAGTGAGTGAAGAGCAAAATAATCCTAACATTTCCACAGCCTAATTGTAGGCTAACTAATATCCAAATGGAGATTCAGTGAAAATACAAATCTGATTGATTTATCAAGACCAGTCCCCATGCTTGTCTAAAAGAAGCGCGAAACGGTGCTGAAATAGTTGACCACACGTGGGTAGGCTATTGCTTCAAATCCTATTATAACAATTGGATAACTTTGGGTGTTTCAGTAAGCAACAATGTTGCCTTCAATTGCATTAGCCTACTTTATTCTAATATTTCTGTCATTCAGTGATCTTTATTCCCATAGTAATTCGTTATGGATCCATCCAGATGTGGTTAGAAAACAGTGCATGTGGTGGGCTATGCAAAGAGATGGGTGAAGTGACATGCCTCGCAAACACCCATTAATACCTTTAAAGTCCCTAAAACTTGGCAAGAGTCTATTGTCCTGCTGATAGCCCATCAAGGGTGGATGGCTTCTTTTGTATTCCAATTACACCTGGCCCACAGCGTTCTTGCGTACTTACAGCACAGTGCACTTTCATTCCATTCTCCACCTGACTCTCTACCAATGCCACCAGATTATTATTTATATTGTTGTTATCTATTCGGTAACATTCCACAAGTAAATGTAATAAATAAAACACCTACATTAAATAGCTCAGGTCTTGAAATATATTAAACCTTGTTTTTTTATCTGTGCTTAGTAGCTGAGGCTTTATGGCTTCGCCTTCAACTTGTTAATTTAGCAGACATCACTTGCATATATTCAGTCAACACATATATTTTAAGAATAAAATGGAATATAACAGACCATTTTTGTTTCTCTAAAAATAAAAACCGTACAGTGTAACAACAGTTTTAGTAAGTAATAAGCTACGGTCCAGTTACAGCTTCTTCTGACAAAGTAGAAACAAAAAAAGTGTATTTTTTTTTAGTGTGCGCGCGGGACAAAGGAATAGCAATTCTTACACTATTGTTCTAAATTCAATCACCCTCCTCTTCTTCATCCTCATCATTCAGTTCATTCAAATTCAATTGTAATACATTTTGTCACTCCCATTAAACAACTCCAAATCGCGTTTGCATGTGCTCCAAAGGGATAACTTGAAATAACATTATATAGTTTTAACTAAATAATCGAAAGGAAAAATGTGATTATTTATTAGCCTAGTGGATATACAGTACCAGTCAAAAGTTTGGACACACCTACTAATTCAAGGTGTTTTCTTTATTTTTACTATTTTCTACACCGTAGAATAATAGTGAAGACATCAAAACTATGAAATAACACATATGGAACCATGTAGTAACCAAAAAAAAGTGTTAAACAGATCAAAGTAGCCACCATTTGACTTGACAGCTTTGCACACTCTTGGCATTCTCTCAACCAGCTTCATGAGGAATGCTTTTCCAACAGTCTTGAAGGAGTTCCCACATATGCTGAGCACTTGTTGGCTGCTTTTCCTTCACTCTGCGGTCCAACTCATCCCAAACCATCTCAATTGGGTTGAGGTCGGGTGATTGTGGAGGCCAGGTCATCTGATGCAGCACTCCATCACTCTCCTTGGCCTTTACACAGCCCGTAGGTGTGTTTTGGGTCATTGTCCTGTTGAAAAACAAATTATAGTCCCAATAAGCGCAAACCAGATGGGATGGCGTATTGCTGCAGAATGCTGTGGTAGTCATGCTGGTTAAGTGTGCCTTGAATTCTAAATAAATCACAGACAGCGTCACCAGCAAAGCACCCCCACACCATCACACCTCCTCCTCCATGCTTCACGGTGGGAACCACACATGCGGAGATTATCCGTTTACCTACTCTGCGTCTCACAAAAACATGGCGGTTGGAACCAAAAATCTCAAATTTGGACTCATCAGACCAAAGGACAGATTTCCACCGGTCTAATGTCCATTGCTCATGTTTCTTGTCCCAAGCAAGTCTCTTCTTCTTATTGGTGTCCTTTAGTAGTGGTTTCTTTGCAGCAATTCGACCATGAAGGCCTGATTCACGCAGTCTCCTCTGAACAGTTGATGTTGAGATGTATCTGTGACTTAAACTCTGTGAAGCATTTATTAATGAACTTATTCTATGCAGCAGAGGCAACTCTGGGTCTTCCTTTCCTGTGGCGGTCCTCATGAGAGCCAGTTTCATCATAGCGCTTGATGGTTTTTGCGACTGCACTTGAAGAAACTTTCAAAGTTCTTTAACTTTTCCGTATTGACTGACCTTCATGTCTTAAAGTAATGATGGACTTTCGTTTCGCTTTGCTTATTTGAGCTGTTCTTGCCATAATATGGACTTGGTCTTTTACCAAATGGGGCTATCTTCTGTATACCAACCCTACCTTGTCACAACACAACTGATTGGATCAAACGCATTAAGGAGGAAAGAAATTCCACAAATTAACTTTTAACTAGGCACTCCTGTTAATTTAAATGCATTCCAGGTGACTACCTCATGAAGCTGGTTGAGAGAATGCCAAG